AGGCCTGGTGCACAGGTGGGGGCCAGCTGGTTAACCCTGAAGGGTGTCCCGGATCAGGATAGGGGTTCCCTTGGGGGGTGGGGCAGCCTGGGCAAGGGGCCTGTGGTGGTTTGCAGGCCAACCATGCTCCCATGGGGTAAGGGTCCCCGCTGGGGTGTGTGGCCAGCCTGGGTGTGGGGTTGATGGTTGTTTGCAGGCTGGCCACGCCCCCCAGCAGGGACCCACACCTCGATGGTGGCCAGGCCAGCCTGAAAGAGGGGCTGAGGGCCATTTGCAGGCCCCTTCCTCGGCGGCCAGCCCAGTGGACCCAAGCCTCCTGTGCACTTGGGCTGGCTCCTTGGTGGCCGCCCACAGGCCCCTCCTTCTGCGGCCGGCCCAGTAGGGCAAGAAGCTTGGCTTCCTCCATCGCCAGGGGTGACCCAAGCCTCCCACCTGCTCAGGCTGGCTCCATGGCCACCGCCATCTTTGTCCTGCTAATTTGCATACTCACTCCTGATTGGCTGGTGGGTGTTGTGAAGAGATGGTCAATTTACATATTTCTCTTTTATTAATGTAGATGTGACTCTTCTTGCCTGGCTGGGTGGCTCAGTGGTTGAGCATTGACCTATGACCAGGAGGTCACGGTTTGATTCCTGGTCAGGACACACGCTTGGGTTGCAGGCTCGATCCTCAGTTTGGGGCATGCAGGAGGCAGCTGATCCATGATTCTGTCATCATTGATGTTTCTCTCTCTCCCTCTTCCTTCCTCTCTGAAATCAATTAAAATAATTTGACTCTTCCTGTATGCTGCACACTTTAAGTGCCACATGCATCAGAGTAAATTCTTAAACAACTCCCTGGATAGTTGTGAGCTTACGGGGTTCTTGATTGACATTTCATATGTGTGTGTGTGTGTGTGTGTGTGTGTGTAATACTTTCATCCTTAAATATGTATATAAATAGTCTTCTAAATCTTATTTAAGAACACGTGCCATGGTTATTAACATTAGTAATTACTAACGTGTATACATTAGGGGTGGGTGGGGGGGGATACGGTACTATCTTTGAAATTTCTCAGTAACTGAGGATTCTTCCTTAAAAAGACTATTAGGGAATGTCCCATCTACCCTCAGCCTTGGTCACTATGACATTTTTAGGTTTTTTTTGTGCATATTCATTATAAATTATGAATAATCCAGTTAAGAATGATTGAAAATGCAAATTTTCTCTATTCTCTTCCAAACATCACTTAAAAAAATTTAAGTCTACAAGAAAAGACAAACTTCCAGATAGTCTCTGTGACAAATGGTTTCAGTCACCTCATTGGTTACCTCATGATCTCGTTGTTTGGGCCTTTCCAAGGCGGGTCTTTGTCAGCAGGTGAAGCGGGGAAGGTGGGGTCCTTGTGGGACCGCCTGGAGCAAGGGAGGGCAGGACCAGGGAGCCAGTGGTGGGCTTTGGTGAGGACCCTCTGCCAGGGCACTTCTCCATGTCTTCCCGCTGGAAGGGGCAGGGTCTCTCTGGAGTCCCTTGTAGGAAGGCATCGCTTGCATCCCATTCATGAGGAATTAGCACCCAATCGCCTCCCAAAGGCCCCATCTCCTAACACCATCGGCTTGGGAGTTAGGGTTTCCGCATTAGAATTGGGGGTTGGGGGCAGAAGCATCAGAGGCGTCTGAGCGCTCACAATAACCCCCTAACTCTCCTGCAGGCAGTGTGGCCTGGCCCGGTTAGTAAAATGCCCAAACGCTGCAAGGCAGTAGGTCCCCTCTAGCCCTGTCCCCACACACATGAGTGTGTCTTCCTGAAGGTGACCTACCGAGGCCTGGGGACAAGCATACAGCTGTCAGCGCTGGCTCGTTCTCTGGCCGGGACAGTCCCTCGTGAACGATGGCCCTGAAAAAGCGCTTCTGGAGAAGCTGGCTCCCAGCTGGGCAGAGCAAAGAGTGGAGGTCGTACCAGTCACCACAGCCAGGCACTCAGGTAAGACTTTTCCTCCCTTATTTCAGGTCATTCTCTCCAGTGTCCTGCGAGGACCTACCACGACTACATCCTCATCTTAAGGATAAGGAATGTGAAGTTCAAAAAAATTAAGCGACCTGTTTAGGTCATCTCCTTAAAAACTCTGTCTGTCATCAGAGTCTGCATTGGCGGGTGGTCCTGTTGTCTGTTCCAGAAACGAAGGACAGAGCATCACTTGGGCAGAGACAGCAGGGTGGGCTGACTTGGCTGCAGTGACAGGAAGACAACTTCGGACTCCCACCTCCTTCATGAATTCCCAGGACGTGGTAACCATGACTCGGACCCGCTGGGTGACATTGTTACAGGCTCAGGGATTGGGTGCTAACTGCCTTCCCCGCTTCCTCCTGGGTCATTTACAGACAATACCATGGGAGCCAGGACAGTGCTGGCCCACCCTGCTGAGCTCGGACCAGGCCTCCGGTGAGCATCCCGGTGTCCAGAACATCACCACACAGAGCCTCCAGCCCCTGGAGAGGCCGGTGGGAGACCCCTGTTCTCTCTCCGTGACGCCGCCATTCCCGTTTGGTGGAGGAGGACCTGACTCCCCGTCCTGGGCACAGCTGTGTGGGGCTCTGGGCTTCAATGCCCGCCCGCTGCTCTTTCCACGGAGCCCAGTGCTGAGGGAGGCTGAGGGCTGCCCCCGTCCCGTCTGCTCTTGAACCGGGGAAATGGAGCATGTCCCTGCGCTCTCTTTGTGGATTCACTTCACTGCCCAAGAGCAGGGCGCGTGGTTCTCGAATATAAGTGGGCCTCCTGTCCCCTCAAAGCTGTGGAGACACGTCTCCTGCCAGCAATGGCCCCGAGCAGGAAGATGCTGTACTTTGTCTTTGTCTTTGTCTTCATTTTGGCTCAGTGTCCATCAGGTAAAGGAGAATGGCTGGGATTTCGATGGGGCAGAGCATAAAGTGGGATGATTCTCCTATGCACCACCCTAAACCTGGGAGTAATGGTCAGCTCCGCACTGTGCGTCTCACAGGAATTTCTTGAACTTTCTGTGGAATTGTCTAAGAGGGAATAGCTATTTCCTTCTCCTCCTCCTCCTCCTCCTCCTCCTACCCTCTAGCCTGGCTTCCTAGCTCTCCTCCTCCTCCTCCCCCTCCCTCTTCTTCTTCTTCTTCTTCTCCTCCTCCTCCTCCTTCTTCTTCTTCTTCTTCTTCTTCTTCTTCTTCTTCTTCTTCTTCTTCTTCTTCTTCTTCCTTCTTCCTGGTTACCAGGAGGGCTAGGCTTCAGAAATAGAATAAACCTGCATCCCTGTGTCCTGCTGCCCCTGACAGGAGATCTGTGGGGTTGGAGTACTGTTTCCTACAGCCCTGTTCCCTGCATTGATTTTAATTTTCAAAATGTGCTTTGCTTTGAATTTAGGGTCCCGGGCAGGACTCGAGTATTCCCAGCCATTCCCTGGAGGTGAGTTAAACCCTTTGTGTGTAGTATCACTTTGAGGAACACTGGCCTGTCCGCTATCTCTGATTCCTGGACACAGGAGGTGAAGGAGAGAGCAGTAAAAATAGAATTGCCCGAACTCCCACTCACACTTCTCTTTTTTCCTCTTGGTCCCAGCACCGTATTTGGATTTTCTATTTCACGAGAAATCTGTGTTACTGGGTTGTAATGTTGGTTTGGACCTTGTGGCTACACTCACGGTGATCCCTAAACCAAGGTCAGAGGATTGAGCTGGAACCAGCTCATTAGCATTGCTCTGGGAACATGCTGACCCATCGCTCCTAGGCTCTTTCCTGAATCCAGTGACGTGTGTCCCAAATGCATGTCACTGGCCTAAGAGAGAGAAAGGATCATCCAGCAAACACTCCATGACAGAGAGCTCTTAACAAATAGCCCACTGATGTGTGTGTGTGTGTGTACTTTACAGGAAGAGAGCACATTATACACAGAACAGAAATAAATGTTCTGGGGTAATTGCAAACAGAATTTAAAAATGTTTAGACAGAATTTCAGAGTGAGGAAATTAAGGCTGCTACTAGTCATTGAGTACTTACTATGCATTGGGCAGTCTATTAAC